CCTCTCTCGCTGTGTCTCTCTCTGTCAAATAAATAAATAAAATCTTTTAAAAAATAAATAAGTGAGTTCCTTTTTCATTATTAAAGAAAAAAATTGCTTAACTCACAGCTACTCAATTTTTTACACTTAAATTCTTCACTGTGTATGAAGGGCATTCTCTTCATAAAAACAGTACAATTATCAAACTCAGGACAGTTGTAATGATTAGCAATCATCTACAGATTTTGTTCAGATTTTGCCAACTTTCCCATTGATAACCTTTGTAGCAAGAGGGGGGAAATGCTTTTTTCCTTGTCCAGGATTCAATCCCAGATCACAAGTTACGTTTGATTGTCATGTCACTTTAGTCTCCTTTAATCTAGAATAATTTTTCAGCTTTTCTTTGTCTTTCATGACAATTTTAAAGGATGTGGGTGTGTTGTTTTGTAGAATGTCCCTCAATTAGGGTTTGTCTGATGTTTCCTCATGATTACACTTGTGCATTTTTGGCAGGAATACCATGGAAGTGATGTTGTATCCTTATCAGTACATCCTATCATAGTGTCTATTTATCCCATTAGTGGTGATATTGATTGCAGTCGCTTGAATAACTGGTGTCTACCAAGTTTCTCTACCATCATTAGTCGCTTGTGGGAAGATGCTTTGAGACTGGATAAATATCCTGTTTTTCATTATATTTTCACCAATTAGTGTAAGCATCCATTGATGATTCTTGCTTCAAACATTTATAGCTCACGTGGTTGTCATGTGGTGGCTTTCAAATTCCATCATTTCTTTTATATTTGTAAGTTGGAATTCTACCATAATTTGGTTATAAAAAGAACATTTTTTACTGTAATTTCTAATAAAAGACTTTTTCAACACCTTACTAATTCTGCTTTATGCACATGCATATTTTATACCCTCCAAACACCTGCTGAATTACTGATGCATTATTTCCCATTGCAAAGCCCTTGTAGATTTTGCTTAATTAGCTGGTTGCTTAGGTGAGTACTTAGTTGTCCCATGTAGGATAGGCCTGTCAGGTCCCAGGAGACTGTGAAGGCTCTGGTAAGGATTTTGAAATAGAGAAGCCTGTGCCCAAATTGATTCAGCCTCTTATTCATCCCCTAAGCAACCTTAAACATATTATTGAACCTCTCAGAGTGTCACTTTTATTCCTGCCTGCTTGAAGTTGGGAACCATGTCTTTATACTACTTTGAATCCCTAGTACAATATGTGCACAAGTAAACCCACAGTTAGTGACTGTTAAACTGAACTATATCTCTTCCGTACCACCATTACTGCATTTTCTCTTTTTGTTCTAAAGACTCCTCTGTTGTCAAATCTTGCTAAAGTTTCTTCCAAAGTCCTTTTGAGGCCATTCAGTTTTTGGTTTACATCTATCTTTCTATACTTTATGCTTTCCTCTTTTTGCATAGGTATGTTTCTACTTTCAAAAATTCGGTTTTCTCTATCCTGGTAATTGCACTTAGACATTTATAAATACTTCTCAAATTTCTTTCTGGCTACTTACTTTTTACTTTGCATTACTGTTTTGCCTTATTAAATTCACACCTTGTTATCATTATTTTTTCAGAAATTAATACTGCTTGGGGCGCCTTGGTGGTTCAGTCGGTTAAGTGTCTGCCTTGGGCTCAGGTCATGATCCCAGGGTCCTGGGATCAAGCCCCACATTGGGCTCCCTGCTCCGCGGGAAGCCTGCTTCTCCCTTTGCCTGTCCCCGCTCCTGCTCTCTCCATCTCTTTATCAAATAAATAAATAAAATCTTTAAAGAAAGAAAAGAAATTAATACTGCTCTGCAATAAGAGCCATGGGAGGATGGGGGGAAATTTCATTCCTGTTTGTAGGGAAGTCAGTGTGGATAGTTCCCTCTTCCCACCACTGTGCCAAGGTTACCTGTTCTGTTGTTGCTGTTACATGAAAGCTGAATCAAAATCTTATTACTCCTCAATTTCTACTCATTAATTGGCTTTGAAGAGTATACCTAAGGTTTTTTAGCAGCAAAATTTGAACTAGGAATGAGATTCCTGATCCCCAAGCTTAGAAGTTTGCTAATCAATGCTTCCTTTCCATAAAATGGCTATGTCAGTCTTCTGGAAATAAAATAGGAAAGCCTGAGTAGCAGAGGTGTTGGATGCTCTAGTTACATTCTCTAGCTCCTGTCCACTCTGATTTCAGCCACAACTCTAATGATGGTTCTGCTGCAAGCTCAGATTCATGCCGTCTATATTGCACCCCAAAAGCCAGCCTACAGATTCTGCTTTTCTATACCAGGTTAAGGAAGCCCTCTCTCTTCTGTGCGGAAGTACAATCCAGGACAGTTACCAGCCCTGGGGAAACCCTCAACCAATACCAGATGGGAGGGTGGATAAATGCTCCAGCTGCAAGAGGGATATCCAGGGGAGCATTCTGTACATTTTTCAGAGGTCCTCAAGGAGAAAGCAGTGATTTCAATAATGGAGCCTTATATTGACTTTTCCTTTTTTTTTTTACTCTCCCTGACCCATCAATTCTGGTCTCTGGAAACATTTCCCAAGTAAACTACCTGCACCCAAATCACTGTTCCAGGATCTGCCTGTGGGGGTGACCAAACTAAGTAAAAAATTCATTCAATAAGCATTTACCGTGATTATTTTATGCTAGGAAGTGAGATAAAAGACCTAGTAGATAAAATTCCTAGTACTTGTCCTGAAGAGTATAATGGGGAGACAAACAAGTAAACAATTAGAAAAAAATTACAATATGGGGTGCCTGAGGGGCTCAGTTGGTTAAGTGTCTGCCTTCAGCTCAGGTCATGATCCCAGGGTCCTAGGATCCAGCCCCACATCAGGATCTCTGCTGGGTGGGGAGCCTGCTTCTCCCTCTCCGTCTGCCACTCTGCCTGCTTGTGCTCTCTCGTTCTCTCTCTCTCAAATGAATAGATAAAATCTTTAAAAATTTACAATATATTGTTGGAGAAGCTGTGTTAGTGGCAAGAACATTAAAAATGCATTAAAACACGGGGAGGGGTCATTTAACATATACTTGGGGAAGGGGCTTCCTGGAGGATGTATTGCTTGAGCTAATGGATGAAGCATGGATAAACACAGCTATCACAACTCTATATTGTTCAAATGTCAGCTGAAAATTCAATTGATACTTTTGTATCCTCTGTTTCAAAGGTCATGCTCTGCTCTTTATGGTATGCAGTATATGGCATGATTTTAGATGACAAATGGACATTTAAACTTTTTTGTAGTTATTATGTTAATATGTACTAGAATAAAAATAAGGAGCACAAAAAACTTGATTTTACAGACTATTATCATTTAGGATGAAGAGAAAACTATTTAATGAATTGAAATTGACCTTAAAGAAAAATATTGAGTGAATAATAACACCTGGGTTTAGACTGACAAAGATTGCATGGGTGGTATGCAGATTACTGAAGTTTGGGAAATACTGCACAAGGAAAAATCTAAAATGAAATTCCTGCTTTCCAGAAACTCAGCAGTTGTTTGGGAACACAGAGCCATAAGCAAGGATAATTAGGGCTACAATAAATTTGTAAACCAAGTACAGGTTTCCCCCACTATCCAAAATTAGAGAGTTCTTATCAAAACTTTCTAAACCAAAATGATATAAAGTGAAGAAGCAATTACCATTACTTTATATGGAAATATTTAGAAACATTTCTGAGCATTTCCAGACCTGAAAAATAACCTTTTAGGCATTTCTGATACCTTAGGACATATCTTGCTAAGAGATGCACAAAATAAATGGAGATAAAGCACAGGTGTTCACAGACAAGTTCAAAGCTATGGGTGGCTTGATACTGAGATGCTGAATGTAGTTCCCGGGGAAGGAGCTTGGGGATGTCACTCTCCCCCGCTGCCTGGGGTTGAGAGCTGCCTTTATAAAGGCTCACTGCAAAACAAACTCTAACTGCTATTTTCATTTACTACCTTTTTTCATAAAAGCAAAAATTCTCTTGGATTTCTTTTGTTAGCAAAAACGGGTTTTAATGTAGAGGGCTTTTCTAAAAGCAAAGTGGCTTAAGGGGAACTTTCTAAAAGAGGGGGATACCTAAACAGGAAGAAGATAGGAAAGCAGTGAGGAGCAAAGTGTAGAGGCTACAAGATCAGTTGGAAGGCTATTGCTCTAGTCCATGGGAGAGGTAGTAACAGCTTGAATTAAGGAGTGGCTATAAAAATGGAAAAAAAAACAACAACAACAAGTAATGAAACAGGCTCATTGCAACCATTCTATGAAAACTTACTGGTTACAGGCAGGACGCAGGTGAAACCTGTCAAGTCAAGTGCAGGACAGTTTGGTACACACATGCACACACGGAGTGGGAAAGCTGGATTAATCAATCAGAAAATATAATTAGAAGCATGTTTTTATTTGGCTTCAGTTACCAGAGCACTTTAGTGTTAATTCTTCAGATATTTGCCCCCCCACCTTTTTTTTTTAATTTGACTCAGAGGCTGGGGATATACTAATACATATATAACGCTTTCTACATTCCAGGCATGTTCTAAAGAGCTTTAGTTCTCCGTTTTCATAACCCTTATTTTATAGAAGAGAAAGCTGAAGCATAAGGAGGTTAAGTAACTTGCTGGAGGTAATGCAGCTAATAAGTGAAGTAGTAAAGATTAAGCCCAGGCGTTCTTGTTCTAGAGTATCTATTCTTAACACTACGCCAGAATAAATGGGTCGGGCAGATTATGCTGAAGACCTGGTTCCGAGACCACAGTCCCTCCATCTGCAAAATGGCGATAATAACAACGCTAGGAGTCTGGTGCAAAAGAGTGAGATAATGAATATGAATGTGAACTTCAAATTACGTACGTGACTCCACATACTACCTTTTCATAATATGAGTACGTGAGCTCCCGCATTGTAACGAGTTTGCAGCGCCAGAGCGAGACCCCGCCCCTGTGGCTCCGCCCACCGCGAGCGGCAGGTGGGGCTGGCAGATCTTCTTTGCGCATGCGGAAACTGCTGCCCGCTCCCAGCTCTAACCCAGGCTGAGAGTAGCTGCCGTTTCTGAGAGGACGATTCGTGAGGAGGCCCTTGGCGCGGTTTTCCTTTCCTCTCCCTTCTGCGGGCCCTGGCCGTACTTCGCTGTGCCTAGAGCGTGGTGTGTTTTCGTCTACCTGCCTGATTTTCTGCAGAAGGTGCCTTTCGTTGGCCCAATAGTTCCTTGTCGAAAGTGCCGGCCCCCGCGCCGGCACCGGCCGTAGCCCGGTGGGAAGGCTCAAGATGGCGTGCCTGTTGGAGACCCCAATCCGCATGAGCGTCCTCTCGGTGAGTGACCGCCGCAGCTGCCCGCTAGCTCGAGAGCTCGGGCCGGCCCGCAGCATTCGCCCCAAACGTGGAGTGCCTCCTGCACACCACCCCTTGGGGTGGCTTCCGGCTCAGCTTTGGGCCATGGAGAGAGAGGGTAGGCGGGAGGAATAGACGGGACCCCGACCGAGCCAGAAACGTCTCCAACTCCAGGAGCTTCCACCGGTACCGTTTCTCGGGTGGCCTCTGGCGGACACGGTGGTTGGGCGTACGGGCAGCTGGCCCGGTGGCTCGGCTTGGGCTTTGCCAGGTGCTTCACTGAACCTTCCTCTCAGCGTTGCTGCTTCTCCCGGCCGAGCGCTCTGCCCTGTGAGGCGCCGGGCTCGCCGCTGGCCTGGGAAAGAGCGCCCATTCAGCCGCCCGCGGCGTTGGCAAGGAGAGGTGCAGGCACTTTGGGCCCCTACAGCCTGAGAGAGCCCAGACCAGGTCTGTGGCTTCTGTCGCGTCTCGACACGGGCTAGAACTGCTTGCTTCTTGGCAACGGGGATTTCATGTCAGCTGCATCATATCTTAGTGTATGTAGTTATTTAAGCCCCTTTTCTTCGCTCTGCTTTGGAGGTCGCAGCTCGGAGTCTAAAGGAACCTGTGCCTGGCGTTACTTTTTTTTTTTTTTTAAGGGGAGTCAAACGCTGGGGGGAAAAAGTCAATTTTCCTATTATTGAAAGAAGGGAATGTATTGACCCGCCAGGAAGTAATATCTAGTTATTTGGGGGTTTTTTCAAGTTAAAAAAAAAAAATCCAAAATACAGCTTTCACTTTTCACTGTATTGCTCTTGAGAACCAGGACCCGGAGTGAAAGTTACTGAGGGATAACTTCAAAGGGTTTTACAACAATTTAGAGCTGTCCAACGAGAGAATAGTCACTTTACCAGTGGTCCATTTACTGTTGTTGGAAATAGGCAAAGACTGGTTGGCCATCTTTTAAACTTGTGGAAGCTGTCTGATACTGAGAGGGTGGTTGGATTACAGATTACCTGACTTGTCAGGGTCCTTGAATCTGTGATTCCAGCGAGTTTCTTTTCTCTTCCCTGACTTCTCCCACAGAGACACTCACCTATCTGGAAGCACTTAGGACATTTGCTATGATTCAGGGTTAGAACACTGTGGAATACTGTAGCCTAGATAATTTAATTTGGGGGGCAGGGGCCGTCATCCAATTTGTCTCCTGATCGATTTTAGCAGTCTTTTTCCTTATTTTATACAGCTTGGGGAAACACTGTTCATCTAAGTATTGAATCAGGTTAGCCTTTTATTCTACTTCTGTAATACCCAGGAATATTTTGTGGGCAAGCAGATGAATGACTTTTCCCTCAATATGTTTTTTTAAAAAAATATCCCTCTCAACTGTTCTCAAGTCCCTTTAATTATCTTGTTTATCCTTCATTTCAGCCGAAGCTTCTTTACTTTTTGTACATTGTCAACTTGTATCATGCATACAATTGAAAATTTTCATTTGTTTCTCTCCCTCAGTAAATAATATTTCCTGTTTAATTTTATGCAGAAACTTCTTGAAGAGTATTCCCTACTTCTAGTTGGGATTTCCTTTAGTTCTAATCTCATTGGGGGCTTATGTATTTTTCACAGTCCCAAAGTCTTGTCTGTCAATTCATCAGTTATAGAGCCTTGGGAAATCAGACGCCACTGTGGCACCACCTTTTGAAATACAGAGTGCAGATGGAACAGGAAATATTAATCGGAAATTACCTTGAAAATAACTGATTCCTTTAATAGGCTGCTTACTGTGCACCAGTTATGTAAAACACTCTTTAATGTATACTTTTAGGCAATGCAAGGATGAGATCAGATGTGCCCTCAGGGAAGTCACAGTCTGAATGAGTCCACGACATGATAATCATAATTCAAGCAAGGGGCAAATCATATGGCTTTAAGGGTTTCATTCAAGGCCCTTTATACCTTCTCCCCTATGAGAGATCTCATTCACTCTTAAACCTTAACTGTGATCCACTCACATATTACATTGCCAGCCTTGACTTTTTTTCCACATAGTCTCGTATCTTCAATTGTGTGAATGTTACCTGAGACTTCTAACAAAGCACATTCCCTTCTCCTAAGGACTTAATTATGACTTTCCATTTCTGTTATTGGTACTGGCTTTCATTGATCACTCTCTGTTAAACCTCTTGGATCATCTTTGGCCCTTACCCTTTTTGTGCCCCTATATCTAATCAGTCCTTAAGTTCTCTTGGTTCTTAGTATTTCACACATGTGGCTGTTCCCGTGGCCACCCTTTCATATCATTTTGTGCCTGCATTACCACAGTGTCCTCAGAATTATTTTTACCACTCCTTATATCTTACCCTCTCAGTTCCAGTCCATTCTCCACAGTAATTTTCCTATAGAAGACATTGGACACATTTCGTTCCTGTTTCAATTCTTCAGTGGGTTCCTATTGCTGAAAGGTTGATAATCATGTTCAACTTCGGATATAAGATTCTTTATCCTCTGCATGAACCTTCTATCCCATATAAACTGGCTTTCTCAAATTGAAGTGATCTTGGGTTCTTCCATCCAGTAACTCTTACTGTCTGCCTGCTCATTTGTACATATGAATTATAGCTTTGTATGGATTCATTCATGTAATATATTTTGAACTTCTGTCATTTGCCAGGCATGGCATTGGGTTTGGGAATACAGTGGTGAGTGGCATAGACCTGTTTTTGCCCTTTGGAAATTTTAGCCTAATGGGGAAAATAGATATCAAATCATTACACAATTCTTTGTGAATGGTGATTAGTGTTATGAATTAAAAATATAGGGTGCTGTATGAGCATGTAGTAGGGGAACGTGGTCTAATGGAGAGGGCAATGAGGAGAGCTAGGGAGGATTTCCCTGAAGAAGCGACAATGAACTGAGAGTTCAAGGATGGTTAAGAACTAACTAGAAAAACAGAAGAGTGTTCCAGGCAAAGGAAACTGCTTTTGCAGAGGCCCTGAGGCCTTTAACAATTGTTCTATCTTCTTAGTAAATTAATTCAGAGGTAAGTGCTTGACCTTTTTCTTAACCCCCACTGCTATTTTTAGCACTATGTCTTACATATACAAGGTATTCAGTAAATGGTTGAACTATCTATTTTGGGGAGTTGAACAAACTCTCCAGCTATCTTTCTAGGCTGCACCATGATCATCCCTATCCATCTTTGGTTTGCATTACCCTTTTCTTTTTTTTTTTAAGATTTTATTTATTTGACAGAGACACAGCAAAAGAGGGAACACAAGCAGAGGGAGTGGGAGAGAGAGAAGCAGGCTTCCCGCCGAGCAGGGAGCCCTATGCGGGGCTCAATCCTAGGACCCTGGGATCATGACCTGAGCCGAAGGCAGACGCTTAACGACTGAGCCACCCAGGCGCCCCTGCATTACCTTTTTCAACAAATTTATAAATTCTCCCATGTTTCCCAAACTCTTGGATGATTTTACATTGATTGGATTGTTTAAAACTTTTTATTCTGAAGTAATTATAGATTCATGGGAGGTTGCAAAGATAATACAGAAAGATCTCTGTGTACGCTTGGCCCAGTTTCCCCCGTTGGTTACATTTTATATAACTGTAGTACAATATCAAAACCAGGAAGTTGATACTGGTATAAGTGTATGTATAGTTTTGTATCATTTTGTCACATGTGTATAGTATAGCTGTCACCACAGTCAAGATACAGAATTAGTCTATCACCACAAAAATCTCTCTTATGCTACCTCTTTGTAGTCAAACCTACCTACCCCCTGCCCACCAACCCCTGGTGACCACTAATTTCCATCTCTGTAGTTTTGTCGTGTTCCATAATGTTACATACAGTATGTGACCTTTTGAGATTGGCTTTTGTCATTCAACATACTGACCTTGAGATCCATCCAAGTTGTGTGTATCAATAGTTTGTTCTTTTTTACTGCTAAGTAGTATTCATGGTATGGATGTCACATTTTAGCATAAACCTATTAGACATTTTGGTTATTTCCAGTTTTTGGCTGTTATAACCTGCAGTGAACAATCATGTACAGGTTTTTGTGTGGACATAACTTTTCATATCTCTGAGATTAATGCCCAGGAGTGTAATTTATAGGTTGTATGGTAAATGTTATGTTTAGTTTTAAAAAACTGACACTTTTCTAGAGAGGATGTACCATTTTACATTCCCATCAGTAATGTATGAGAGATCCAATTTCTCTGCACCCTCACTAGCATTTGGTATTGTCATTATTTTTTATTTTAGCTGTTCTAAATAGATGTGTAGTGATAACTCATCATGGTCCTAATTTGCATTTCTGTAATGATAAGTAGTGTCAAAAATATTTTCATTACTTACTTGCCATCCATATTTTATTGAATATGAAGAACTATTTTAGTGAAGTATTTCTTCATATCCTTTTGCCCACTTCCTAATTGGGCTGTTTGTGTTTTGACTGTTGAGTTTCGAAAGCTCTTTATAGATTCTAGTAGGAGTCCTTTGTCAAATAGGTGCTTTGCAAATATTTTCTCCCAAGTCTGTAGCTTATCTTTCATCCTCTTAACCATAGGTTAAAAAATGAACTTTGATCTCAACTTCACACCTTATACAAAAATTAATTCAAAATGGATCATAGATTTAATTATAAAGCATAAAATGAAACTTTTAGGATAAACGAGAAAATCTGCAGAACCTTGGACTTGATGAAGACGTCTTAGACATAACACCAAAACCATGACCTATTTAAAAAAAAATTTTAATTAAAAATTAGTAATTGGACTTAACCAAAATAAAAATTTATCTTTGTGAAAGACTCTGTTAAGAGGATGATTGCATTTTACTTTGGTCACTTTCTAATGATTTGAGAGAGGCAAGGTAATAAAATTTTATTGAATAACATCATAGGCTGGTATAGACAGCTAAGGCATCTATTAATTTTAATTGTCTCCTTTATAGTGTTTTCCTAGTCCCATTATGCCTTTTCGACAAGCAGCTAGTAGAA